CTTATATACTCATTTTTTTTCTTTTTCATAAATAAGAAACAGTACATTTCTGGGGCTTTAATTTTGAAACTTCAAATGTTTAGTAGTTAACTTTTATTTTGAAAGCACCTTCCAAGCATTCCTAGTATCGCACACCACAAAAACATGTTAAGAGCTGGCTAGAGCTAGACGGACATCTTCGAAGTTTTGGTTTAGCCTGCATATTGTAGATAAGTATGGTTTGTACTGAAGCTTTGTTAAAAATATAAAAGTAGTGCTAAGCTAAGCTTGATTTGTTTTGTAGCTGGCCTGCTGTTTCAAACTGGCGTAGGTAGGTTCGTTTTATCCTCCATTATCGCGTCTGGCACGAAGGTAATGCAATAGTGAGTAGTCCGCCCAATCGGAATACAACGTTGATCAAAGCGAGCGTACCCAAACGGGGGAGGCGGGGATTACGTTAGCCAATGGGAGTAGCGTATCCGAAGCGCTCGACAAAACATTTCGGTTCAAAATTCAAACGGTCATTGACAGTGGATGTCGACGCGCCCTTGTGTATAAGGTATTTGTTTTTATCTTATTGTTCAGACTTTCTTTTCTCCCAAACATTTCTGTATAGGTTTAGCAAAATCTACATTTAAAACGGGTACATTGTAAGCTAAGTTGTAAGCTACTTTACAAGCTAGTTCAAGCTCCTGACGTCGTTAATTTTAAGATGTTTTAATTTATCGTGAATGATTTAAAGATTTAAACATGACTTTACTTATGTTGAAAGACAGAATGTGTAAAACTGTTTATCTTCAGTTGCTAATTTCCAATTTTCTGTACAATGCCTGAGTTTAATTTTAGATTAATCCTCAAACATATTGCAAATAAAAATGGAGTTTTCTAAATTCTTAAATGTTCAAAGTAAAAGTTACTGAAAAACCACGCAAACATTAGCTATTAAAATTGTTTTTGTTTTGATTGGATGCCTGTTTCAGATATGTGTGAAAAAACATTAGAGCTGGTCAGGATAAAGGTTGATGTTTTTTTTTCTTTCTCTGATACTTTTTATTGACCATGTTTTGTTTCTCCTTCCTCAGCTGATCATGTCTCGTTTACCAGTCATGTCGACTAAAAGGGTTCTCACGAGCCGCACCTCTGATAATTCACAGGACTGGGCTCCTGCTCAGGTTTGTAATAAAATTATCTAAAGTCACCTGTCCTGTTGTCGTTCATTCTGCTGCTTTATCTCAGTCATTTAGCAGAATGTGTCTTAATCGATCCTCTATAAAGTTGTGTGCTTTTTTTTTTTTTTTTTTTTGCAGAAAAGGATGCGTAATGACCCGGAGCAAAGACAACAGACAGCTGTAACTGTGATTGGAAACAAACGGCCTCCAGTTGCAGCAACCAGAGCGCCTCTTTGTGAGAGTTGTTCTTCTCACTAATAAACTTTTTTTTAATTATTATTTATTTTCAGAGAGTTGCAGAGGTTCTATTATTTACTTTTCCTCTAACTTTTTCTTTCTCACACAGACAAACCAGTCAGAGGTTCTGGAGCTGCCACAGTTGCAGCTGGTCCTTCTAGAGGTAAGAAACATTTTTTATTTCTTACTAAGAGAACTGCTAATGTTTCATAAAWATGTCTGATGAGGTTTTAATTTGTTGCTTCTCAGCTGTCCTGAAACAGCCCGCAGCGTCGACTGCTCCTAAAGCTGCCGCCTTCAAACAACCTGCTGGTGCAAAACCTGGTGAGTTTTGTTTTTAAACACCGATGCAATGATGCAGAGACAGTTTTAATCATTTGGACTYGTGATGCTGTCGTGTACAGGTGGGACCGGAGCTCCCCGGCGCCAGCCGTGGGACCTGAAGGGGAAGGTCAGCGACATGGAGGGAAAGGTCCGTAAYTACCAGACCAAAGTTAAGTCTGTGAACGAGGAGAACGAGGCGCTCAGAGAGTCGGTGGTTCAAAGCCAATCCAAGATGGCCGAACTGGAGAAGGAAGTTAAAACCCAGAGAAACAAAATCAGGTTTGGGAGAGATTTTATTTTTATACGACACTAATTTTCCCTTAAATTCCTTTTAATAACGTTAATTTTTCTTCTTATAGTGAGTACGAAGCAGAGCTCGTGGCTTTATCTGGAGTTCGGAACGAGTTGGAGAAAGTGACGAACGAGAAAAGCCTCCTGCAGRTGAAGCTCTCTAATCTGGAGGAGAGCTACAAAGTGATGGAGAGTCTCCGAAACAGCCAGGAGACTGAACTGCAAGCCCTGAAAGTAAAGTCTCCTGTTTTAGTAACAGATACATACATCTGTAGTAATAGATGGAATAAGCTTTTTGTAATCAATTTAGTTTTTTTGCTGCAGATAAAGTTATCGGTCCAGGACTCAACCATTAACCGTCTTCAGACCAGCTTGGAGCAAACACAGGAGGAGGTTTGTGCTTTGAATGAAACKGTGTCTGAGCAGAAGGAGAAGCTGCACCATGGAGAGATGGAGCGCAGACTTCTGCATAATACTGTCCAGGAGCTGAAGGTGAGTCACTGTCATGTTTACTACATTGTTTGTTTATTTACKCTCTGAAAGTCCACCACTAATAACATCCCTTATTTCTCTTCCAGGGAAACATCAGGGTGTTTTGCAGAGTGCGCCCACAGAAAGATGGAGGACTTGGACGTCACCTCCAGTTGGCAGCAAGTGACAATAAATCCATAATGCTGGCTAAAACCGAGGAGGTCAGAATCAGTTTGTTATCCAGGCCTCATATTGTTGGGAACAAATCAGATTAAATTTTTTTTTTTTAAATCAGTCTCACACAGGAAAAACTGCAGACACAGTTAAGAACTACCACTTCAGTTTTGACCGTGTGTTTGGACACCAGGCGTCACAGCAGGAGGTAAACATCACAAATCAAAGCTTTTTGGCTGCGTTTCAAAGGGTTAAAGTTCACGCTGATGTTTCATTTTCAGATTTTCGAAGAGATCTCCCTGCTCGTTCAGTCGGCCCTGGACGGCTATAATGTTTGTTGTTTCGCATACGGTCAGACGGGGAGTGGTAAAACGTACACGATGGAGGGGGAGGAGGTGGACGACTGCAGGGGAGTCATCCCCAGAGCCGTCCAGCAGCTGTTCAGAGCGGGGGAGAAGCTGAAGTCTCAGGGCTGGGAGGTTAGTTTGAGTAACAAACACATGTTGTTGTTGTAGTAGTTTTTTTTTTTTTTTTTAAATATTCTGTTTTCATCTCAGTTCAGCTTCACGACTAGCTTCGTTGAAATTTACAACGAAACCCTGCGAGACCTCCTCTACACCGGTAAGCCCAGCAAGAGGCCAGAGCATGAGATCAGGAAGACCTCGACCAACGAGGTGACGGTCACTAACCTCACCTATAAGAAGGTTTACACCGAGGACCAGGTACGGCAGCTTTACTAGTCTTATTTTTTTATTCATTTATTTTATTTAAAAACAAAACAGATGCTATACGTACAACAAATAATACAACACACAAATAAAATGAAAGGTAGCAGAAAGAAGAAAAAAAAATCTTATTAATAGCTGCTTTTTTTTCCAAAAAATAAATTCAAACAATAATTTTCAAATGACGAAACATAAAGACTTAAACTCCTTCTTGAACAACAGTTTTTTTTTCTTTTTAAAGGGATCCACGATTAGTTGTAACATTAGACTTTATTTTACAATTAAAATATGTTTATCAGCTAAAGACTGTAAAAAT